GGGGACCTGAAAGGGAGCTATGGGGGTGGGGATCTGAGACAGGTGGAGCAGCAGGCCTACGGAGCCGGCTGTGGCCCGGTTCCAGACAAGGCACGTGTGTGGCTCCCCCAACAAGCACACACACGTGCATACGCACTCATGTGGTGTGAACACGAGTGCATACTGCCCACATGCATGCATGTACACAAGTTCACACACGCACACTGTGGCCACGGCCCAGTCCCTCCCGCCACACCCCTGCAAGTGCACTGCCCAGCAGCTGAAGGCAGCACCTGAGTCCCTTCCTCTGCGGAGGCCACACTGCCACTGGGAAGTCCCCAGGCCCACACCCCGAGAGCCCCTCAACCCGGGACTGTGGGCCGTGCACAGCTACTTAAACATACGTGGTAAGGGGACACGGAGTGAGTCTGACTGTGCAAGTCTGCCCTCATTTTCGACAGGAAGTAACTTGGGAGTGTTTTCCTAGACGGCACAAAGAGTCCTTGGAGACACCCACGGAGACGTGCATGTGAGAGCTACGCGTGGATTCTTTCCTTTTTTTTTTTTTTGGCATCACAATAAACTCATTCTTTAATTCCATTTTTCCAGGATACAAGAGACTTCCAAAAGTTCACAGGGAAACAGAATTAAAGTGTAAGTTTATTTCGATACAGAAGTTGAAACCCGCACGTTTTTTGTAGGACCCCTCTCCAGGCACGGGTGAAGGCCCCGTAACAGGTCATGGACGTCCACTGCACATCTGGGTGTGCACACCCCGCTCTCCCCCCCTCTTCCCGCCCCACACAAAGCCATCACCCCAGTGGCACTTACTCTGGTCTGGACGCCGCATCTGGTGTGCGTGCGCTGAAGAGTGTGGAAAGATTTCAGAAAAGACGGGGAAACGGTGATCGCTGAGGTTCACGACCACAGAGGCTCTGCTCTGGGGACTCCGGGCGCAGGGGCTCCGTCTCCTCAGCATGCTGAGAGGCACCGGAGCCACCAACAGCTGGGAGAGGGAGTGTTCTCTCTTACAGAAGACCACAAGCTCACGGGGTACGTGGCGGCCCAGCCCCGCCACGAGTAACTTGGAGCAGCTGGCCAAGGCCATCGCGGCCAGTGACACCCTCCAATCTAAAATACTTCCGTAACAACGACCCCCTGAAGCCACACGCCGAGTTCCTTTCCACTTCTCAGCCCTGCGAAGGTCCCGTGTACGGATTAGAAGGCACCAGCACTTACGGAGAGCTGACGGCCCTGTCCCCTCAATCCACCGCACGGCGATAACCCGCTCCTGTCCACTCCCCCACACGCCACCCCAGACCAGGGTCCCGCCCCACAGAACACGCTGAGTGTGGCCCTGCCTACCCTCCCCTGCCTCCTGCTCACTCACCCAAGGCCTCGGAGACGCGGCAGGAAGCCCCTCTGCCCTCAGAGCAGACAGCTGACCTCCCAGAAAGCCAGACGACAGAGTCACCCTCCCGCCCTCCCTGGAGAGTCATGGCCTAGCAGGGACCCTGCCCACCAGACACTGTGGGCTGTACACCCAGGCAAGGTGCCACGGGGCCTCGTGGGCAGTGGCCAGGAACGGGGTCACACGGCCAGTACAGGAGCCAGGCTGCCCAGAATGTCGAGGGCCCAGCCAGACGGAGGGAGCGGTGTTGACTACAGTCAGGGGTGGTCCGGGACGCCCCCCAGGACTCACCACACAGGAGCACTGGACGCATCTACTTCCCGCTGGCCGGAACTCCTCTCCTTCGCGGTACTGCACACCCTCAAACACACAGCCTGGAAGGCAAGCGGAGCACGGGGTTCAGGCCTGCCAGCAAGGGTGACGCCTCTGTCCACCGCCACCCGTCTCCCCACACCCTGCCCGTCTCCCCCTCCCTCTCCACCCATCTCCCCACACCCCTGCCCCCTCCCCTTCCCCACACA